AGTGGGGGGGATGTGGAGTGTGAATAGGTCTCACTAAAGCCGGTATAACTGCACACGCGAACTAGATTTACATATACAAGTAAGAAATTGTGATATTGAAGTAGTTATACGATGATATTTGATAGGTGAATGCATGATGACGGGAGACAATTGGTCAGAGGATTAACTTTATTTATCTGTTTGACGGATTGCAGTTGATGCAAAATATGGCAAGTCTCACCAGCAAAATTCTGGCAATGTATTAAATACACGGTCAGACTGGAAATTATCAAGTATACAATATTCTCCGGACAAGGTGCGTACCTCTAGGCCTCCATAACAATATGGCCAAGTAGCGTTTCTTTTCGCTCCTCAGATATGAAGGGGCCATAGCATATTAGTCTTCATAGCTACGAACTAAATAAAAGTTCGAACAAAGATTCAAACATACCAATATTTGAAGGTAATACAAAGAAGTTAGCAAAGTAACCTGAATGAGGAGAGCTACATCCTTGAAAGTGTACTTAATCAAGCACTCAAGTTCATCGAAACGACCTGCGCGACGAGCATTAGTGGCAGCAGCAATTAAATCCGATGATGAGCCCGATGTAATAGCCAAACTTGAAGAAGGAGGAGGCAACCAGGGCGGCCCTCGAGAACGAACCGTTGCCCCTAAGAGTAAAAACATAGGTGCGGTCAAAATAACAGTAGAAAAAAATTATTAGGAAGTAATCAAGCATCATAAAAGCGCATCCATAAAGCATAATAAGCATCGGTAAGGTTGTTGAAGTTATTGATGGAAGAACTATCATAAAGAAACGAGCTAATTTATTACAAACAGGTTGTTCAAAAAAATGTAAGTGCAGATCACCTATTTTATGCACCAAAAACAAGTATAATTTAGTGTCAAATAGATAAGTTTTGGAACTTTAAAAATCAACCAAGTAATCCCAGGTCATTTAAAGTTAGAATTCAGTTTCTCATATTAAAAATAATATAGCTTATTACAATTTATATAGCCTAGCCATTAAAAATAGATCGTTAGGGTCAAAATGACAACATTACCGCCACGAAATAAAGCCGCAGATAGCAATTAATTTTAAGACAAATGTGACCCTCAATGAAAATTAAGCTGCTTTAAAATCCTAAATATGTAAGGACTGGTGTCGACAAGGAAGAGATGTGTTGGTTTAACCTCATTATGGCAGCTTTGTCAAATTGACAGAAAGATCTTGTGGAACGCACCTAGTCCTTCGCGATGATTTCCAGAATCAGAACGCTAATTTGGTACATTCTCAGAAGTTTCGCCGGCATCGTCGATTAGAGGCGCCATCTGAATAGGACTATGTCATTCAAGACTTTTTCCCCAATGAGATTACCAAATAAATGAAGTCTAGAATTATAAGATTTGGCGATAAAAATGACTGGGATAAAGAGTTAGATAGGTTTAAATAATTGTTACTTGATATCAATTGTCTTCTAGGTATGATGGAATACAGCATAGAATTTAATCGAAATAAAACTCAGGAAGGGGACTAAATGGGACTAATTAAGGTGTAGGATGCTTCCTCTCACTTCTTCTCTTTGCTTTCACACGTCCTTCCTTAAAGGAAAAGCGTTGAAAAGTAATAGGTGAAAACATTTTGCAAAGAAACAGACATTTTTTTGACTATTATGGAAAGCTGATCCTGAATACAGATTAGGTTGTAACAAGATAGTATATTTGTATGGCCGCTCTTGAACTGAGTAGGCTTGCTGTATCATTAGCCAAAGGCTAGTTTTTCCGTCCAACTGTGGGAGATGACTGTAGCACAAGAAAAACTGGATATGAGATAGAATGCTATTAAATTCATCTACTAACTTTTTATGGAATATTTGTTGCTAAAACAGGACAAGTCAACGAGGGCAACAGGTTAGGTAAATCAATGAATGCATAGTGGTAGATATTAAGTGAAAGTTGAGTTTAGGTCAGGTAGGTAAGAAAGTAAATAAATTAAGAGTATGAGTAAGTATAAAGAGAATGTTAAGCTAAATACAAAAAGCACTCGATTTAACCATATGGCTCAGATATAGTTCTAATAAAAATTCACAGACCCGATTGCCTACATCGACAATCAATTCAATGAGGTATTGCGAAATCGCTTCCTTGAACCAAAGGGACTATGAAACTTTGTTGGTTCGAAACTATCACTGATAATTTATACTCGGACACATACCGAGATATTAATAAATATACAAGGACATATATATTCATAGATAAAAATATACTAACCATATGATTTCATACTTCTTAAAGCAGTGCATACAGGCATAGGAATGAGCTAGCTAGAATAACCAACTTTTGTACGGAAGAACAGGAACAACCCATTATTGATAGACAATGCGAATCCATCGACTGAGAAGTAAAAAGTAATTTATTGAAATGCAGTTGCGTTCAGACCTCTTTAGTTAATAAAGTCGTTGGCTGACAATTCCCAAATAAGTCATGGAAATAAAAATATT